AAAATTTCGTTCCTCGAATATATTAACAATAAAAAACGAAAAATGCGTAACGAAAGTAAATAAATACGCACAATCGGGATAAGTAATTACCGATAATAATCTACCGTTATCCCTATACAACAATCGTCGTGTTTCTTAATTATACGTACGAATGCAACGATTCGCTCGTAAAAGTTAACTGTAAACCGCGCTACGACGGATCGAACATTCGGTCGAAAGTTACTTTTCCCAAAAAACTTAGCTCGCGTCGAGAAACGGCGAAGATCGAGATTAGATTAGATTAGAAAAGGGGGGAAGGAAGGAAGGAAGGAAGGAAGGAAGGAGAGAAAGAGGATCGAATTTTAATTTTGAAGAGTTATTAAATTCAGAGGTATAGGTCTGGGGTTTCTTGAACCTCGCTAACGTATACCGTTAGTGACCCACTAACAGAAATCTTCCGAACGCATCCAGCCAGCGTTCACAACAGTGGCCGCAAGGAAGGTGGAAGGAAGAGGAGCAGCACCAGTCACTGGCGGACAGTTGGACGCGTGAGAAGCGTGTGGCCAACCTTGAATCGCTTCCTCGAGTTTTCAACGTGTGTACAACGATCCGGTACGTGTCCCATTCAAATCAATTCAATTCGTGACTCTCATACATTCTTTTTTTTTTTTTTTTCTCTCCCCTCCTCGTCGAGGATCGCAGAGAGTATGGAAAGATTCGTTTTATAGGGATGGCCACGACTCGCGGTTCTCGATCTTGGAATCTTGTTTATAATTTTCTTCGAACATGATAAATGGAATGTAAGACGATCTGTCTGTCATATTTTGGGAAATGCAATCGTATTTCTCGAAAGATTTAGATTTTAGTCAATCGGGGAATTTTTTTAACAAATATTATTTTATTTTGTTTTATAATTAAATCTTGTATGATTATTTGTATGATTATATTGTATGTATATATAAGAATTATACGAATGTTACATCAATATTAATTAATAATTGATATTAATTAATAATATTTTTTCTTTTTTTTTTTCGTTTCACTTTAAGATAAATTTGACATTTTCCGCCGCGTTTCAAATACTCGATCAAAGTAATACGAATTTTAAAACGTTTTTCATCCGTTTTTCTGTTAATTTTTTTCACATCTTTTTCGAAAATTTCCAATCCCCTTTATATTCTTCTCGTATCTTCTACGATATTTCTTTTATTTCCGTTTGCAGAAATGTTGCGGATATACTTGATTTTAATCGTAGCAGCGAGCGCGGCGATGGCACAAGTACCATTTTTAGGCTCTTGCCCCGTAGTGGAAACCATACCGAATTTCGATATAAAAAAGGTACGTAGAAGATACGTCACGTTTATACATCACAGTTATTGTGTTATTAAATAGAAAACTGGAATAAAATTTTCTTGCGCATACCTGTGTTATTGACTTACTTATGAGGCAATGCAACCTGCATTTAGAAAGCTGTCCTCAATAAGATATTGATATACATCCGACGTAACGAGACATATGCAAAGTATGTATACTCATAATTTATGAATATAATGAGATTCGCGCGGAAAATTTTTCTTTCTAAAAAAGAAAGCCCGTCATTTCTGTGTATCTAACATTGAATATATTATGAATATATTATTTGCTTCGTTATTTGTGTTCGCAGTACGTGGGCAAATGGTACGAGATCGAAAAATATTTCGCCTTCTTCGAGTTCGGCGGGAAATGCGTTACTGCGATTTACAGCGAGGGCGAAAATAACGCGATTAATATTTTGAACAAGCAGATATCGGCTCTGTGAGTACGATTCGATCGTTGTTATCCTCGAATTAATCTTTCAAGTTAATCTTCGTTGATGTTAAATAAAATAAAAAATAAAATAAAAAAAAAAAAAAAATAAAATATAAAGTAAAATATTAAATATT